AGCTACCGCACGCCTCCACCTTCAAGTACCTGGGAACTACTCTTGGGGAAGAAGGCCTACTACAAACTGAGGTGGCAGCCAGGATCAACGCAGCGTGGGGCAAATGGAAGTCCGTCACGGGCGTCCTCTGTGACAAGAAGATGTCGATGCGCCTGAAGGCGAAAATCTATAACTCTGTGGTGCGCCCCGTGGCCATATACGGCGCAGAGTGCTGGCCGACGACCAAAGAAGTCGAAAGCAGACTCCAGACAATGGAGATGCGAATGCTCCGATGGTCGGTAGGCCTCACCCTACTCGATCGCGTCAGGAATGAAGAAGTGCGCAGACGGTTCAACGTCGTGCCCATCCCCACGGTCATGAGGCAGTCCCGGCTACGATGGTTCGGCCATGTGAGTCGCGCCAAGGAAGAATCCATCATCAAATCTGCGATGAAGGTGATTGTCGGAGGAGCGAGACCGCGTGGTAGACCTAAGCAACGCTGGATGGACACGATCAAGGCCGATCTAGAGATCGCGAAGGCAGACCCGACATACGTGGCAGACAGAGAGGCGTGGAAGCAGTACTCAAGGACATTAGCGGACCTCGCCAGAGCGCGAGACAAACGCTGAAGAAAAAGAAGAAGAAGAAGAAGAAGGCCGAATATAAGAGGAGAATTGAAGATTGCTTTCTCAGTAATAACATGAGGCAGGTTTGGCAGGGGGTTCAACAACTAACGAACTATAAAGCAAAAAAGGTCTCTTCGGATGGTAGTGCGGCGGTGGTTGAGGAGTTGAACAATTTTTTTGTCCGATTTGAGATCCATCAAACTGAAACTGTCCCTTTGCCATCATTTACTCAGCAGAGCCTCCCCTTCATTGTGAATGAGCAGGATGTGAGGCAGACAATGAAGACGGTTAATTCCAGAAAGTCAGCTGGGCCCGACTCAATTCCTGGTCGGGTGGTAAAAGATTCTGCTGATCAGTTAGCTGGGGTATGGACTGAAATTTTTAATCGATCCTTGATACAATGTGTGGTTCCTGTTTGTCTCAAGGCTTCCACCATCGTTCCACTGCCTAAAAAGATGCCCACAAATGGTCCGAGCGACTATAGGCCGGTGGCACTAACTTCTATCTTAATGAAGTGCTTTGAGCAGCTAGTTCGAAATTATATTATCTCCTGCCTTCCCGATTCCTTTGATGGGCTTCAGTTTGCTTACAAAGAAAACAGATCAACCGAGGATGCAATTATTACTGTGCTTCACATGGCCTTATCCCATTTGGAAACACCGGGGAATTATGTAAGAATGTTGTTCGCAGATTTTAGTTCTGCCTTCAATACCATCATACCGCACAGATTAATAGCCAAGCTCAAAGATCTAGATCTTCCAGATTCTATTTCTTTATGGATATTGGATTTTTTAACAAATTGTCCACAAAGAGTTAAACTGAATGATTATATTTCTACTGTCAAGACACTTAGCATTGGCACTCCACAAGGTTGTGTCCTTAGTCCACTACTGTTCTCCGTCTATTCATCTGATTGCACAAATAAACATCCCAACAATAGGATAATGAAATTTGCAGACGATACTACGCTTGTAGGACTTATTTCTGGGGATGATGAGTCTGCATATCGGGATGAGGTACTACAGCTATCCCGCTGGTGCAAGAATAATAATCTTCTATTTAATATTAAGAAGACCAAGGAGGTTATAGTGGACTATAGGAAAAAAAGAGCAGACATTCAGCCACTGTATATAGAGGGAGTTCGGGTGGAACAGGTGGTTGAATGTAAGTTTCTCGGGACCATCATTACAAATGACCTGACTTGGAGCGCAAACACCACTGCTTTAATTAAGAAGGCACAACAACGGTTGTATTTACTAAGGATTCTTAGGAAACAACAACTGGCTGAGAGTCTACTGACTACCTTCTATCGGAGTTCAATTGAGAGTATATTATCCTACTGTCTCTGTGTATGGTTCTCGAGCTGCACAGTGGCAGAGAAAAAGGCAATTCAGAGGGTGATCAAGACGGCCCAAAACATCATTGGCTGCTCACTCCCCTCTTTGGAAGAACTGTATAGGAATAGATGTAAGAGGAAGATACTTAATATATTGAATGACTCCTCTCATCCGGGACATCAGCTCTTTGAACTATTACCATCGAGAAGGAGATTTAGGGTATTAAGAACAAGGACGACCAGATTTAAGAACAGTTTTTATCCAAGTGCAGTTTTGAGTTTGAATGCAGGGTTATAAGATTTTTGTGGAATTTAAATGGCTGAGAGTAATGGGGTATTTACATTTTTAAATTGCATAGAGATTATTGTATGGTTGGTTGTGTTTAGTTCAATTTTTTTCTTTTAGTGGTGTTTGTCCAGTTTTACTTTGTGGAAGAGCACCTCATTTCGTTGCACCCGTTAGCGAGTGTAATGACAAATTCTTATGTCTTATGTCTTAAATGATGTCATGTAAAACTATGAAGTGTACATTTACACAACTGGCTAAACCAAAACCAAGCCACAGTTTTATAGTTGAGTCTTGTGGGTGAGCCAATCCTGTGTAAGTCCTGTTCTGTTCCCTTGTTTCCTTTGGTTTTGCCTTTTTGTTGATGTTGTTGTTGCTTTTTTGAGCTTAAGAAGCTCCCAGAATGTAAATTGTACATTCTGCAGGTGGGGAACACATATGGGTGGAGTGGCTTCGCTAACCTTGCTTTGCATCCTGCCGTAAACAGAGGGAGGGTGGTCAAAACAATTTTGGGAATATGTGCAGGAAGCTGTAAAGGGGAGGGGTGGAGGGAGGGAATGGCATTGGCAGGAACCAGAAGTGTTAAACCAGATTGATCCAGCCGCACAAGGATGCCTGGGCAAGGAAAGAATGTGAAGTTGTTTCAAGATGCAGCGGTTTCCAAAAAATCAAAACCTTCACCCCCAGTTGCTATTGGATACTGATAATCTGGTCAAAGCGGGGAGAACCATGGAAGGGGGAAAACATGTAACCTGTGCATGGGAATACTCAGTTCTAACCTTGCTTTTACTGCAACCACTAATCCTTAGTAAAAGATCCTATCATTCCAATCAAACGGAGTCGAGGGTCTTTCTTTCCTAGGGACCTAGCTAGGGCAGGTCTGACAATGAGCCAAAATAAGCTTTGTGATGGTAGATCGGTAATTGATTTTCCAGCATCTTGTTCTAACGCTATGCCACCCTGTTGATTATTTCTTCCACAGGTTGCAAGAAGCCAGTCTCTGCATCAGAGAAGGAGATGGACTGGGCTCAGATAGCCTGCCACCGATGTCTGGTTTACCTGGGGGATTTAGGTGAGAGAGAGCATTTTCCTGGGATAAAATCCTGAGACTTGGATTTATTTGAAATCAGATGGGGAAAAACGCCCTGTCTAAGGAGCAGGCCATATTGGTTGAGGTATCTAAAGTTTGTGATAAGCCCCTTGGGACTTTGATTTTATTTTTCCACTGCATTTTGTGGATTAGGAATCTCCTACTGTCTGAAGCATTTCCAGATACTTGGCTGCATAAAAAGGATTAGCATATTTTCCTTTCAGTTGGGCATCAGTTCTCTCGTGCTAGTTAATGACTGCAATAAAGTAATTTATCTACTTTCAGTCAGGTGGTATATATGGCTTCCCTATTTCATTCTTGCATATAAACCAAGTCAGGTATCTTCTGATGTGTATCCTCTGAATTGTGTTTCTTAAGGCTTCTGTATGTCTTTTGTGCCTTATCAGCTCGATATCAGAATGAATTGGCAGGCGTGGACACAGAATTGCTGGCTGAAAGATTTTACTATCAAGCTCTCTCTGTCGCCCCACAAATTGGTGAGTATTTAGTAGTCCAACACACACACGTAAAGGTATGCACCAATCAAACATGCACGCATGTATTTTGTAACTGAGCACAAATAGAATATGAGTCAGCAACTTATCTAGCATCAAAAAAAAAAAAATCCTGACCAGTACGTTAGACAAACTACCTCTCCAAAATTTGGCTCTGCAGGTAGTCCTCATGTCAGCGTTCCAGAAAACTTCCACTCCAACAAATAAAACTCAGACATCTTCTCAAAAGTTCTGTTTCATTTGGATAGTAAACTGGCACATCTGGGAAATCCCAAATCTGAAAGTTCCAGGTTTCCTTGCAATAAGTAAAAATGTACAAATCCATCCCCTGTACCCATCATCGCATCACATGCCCCAATCACCATCCGTCCCAGCTTGAGACATCCTCTCACCCAGGTGCAGAAAGAACATGACCTTGACTTAGAAGAAAAATGCTATTATGTCTAACCACATACACTCCAAGAAACTCCCCCCTCCCATTTTTCCAGGCTCAAGAAAGTGTCTGGTGCTAATATGGCTTCCAAAGCTGACACCTCGACTTAACAACAGTTCGTATAGTGACCGTTCGAAGTTACGACAGCATTGGGAAAAAGTGACTTATGACCATTTTTCACACTGACAACCATTACAGCATCCCCACAGTCACCTGATTTACATTCAGACGCTTGGCAACTGACACATATTTACGACAGTTGGAGTGTCCCAAGGTCATGTGATCCCCTTTTGCGAACTTCTGATAAACCAAGTCAGTGGGGAAGCCAGATTCGCTTAACAACCGGGTTACTAACTTATAAATGACAGTGATTCACTTAACAACAGTGGCAAGAAAAGTCATAAAATAGGGCAAAGCTCATTTTTAACAAATGTTTCGGTTAACAAATGTTGGGCTCAATGGTGGTCATATGTCGAGGACTACCTGTATTTATGGCGCTTGCAGCATTGTGGGGTCACATCATCGCCATTTCCAACCTTCTGAACAAGCAAAGCCAATGGGGGAAGCTGGACTTGATTAACGACCACATGATTCACTTAACAACTGCAGTGATTTGCTTAACAACCATGCGCAGTCAATGGGGGAAGCTGGGTTTGCTTAACAACTGTGTAACTCACTTAAGAACTGCAATAATTTGCTTCTCAACCAGGGCAAAAAAAAAAAGCTCATAAAATCAGATGTGATTCACGTAACAACCGCCTGGCTTAGCAGTGAAAATCTGGGCCCAATTTTGGTTGTAAGTCGAGGACTATCTGTCCTGGCTCTGGTGCCACAGTAGGACATTAACATAACATTAGGCATCAGGTCCCATGCACACACCCTGGCCCAGGAAGCCCTGCTTTAAATGCAGACCGAAGAATCTGTTGTGATTGTGAAGAATAAGTTTGGAAGCACACTAGATGTTTGTGTCTTTAGATTGTGTCATAATGGAATGTGTTTGCTATGTTTTCTGTCTTTGGGGGACAGGGATGCCTTTTAACCAACTTGGGACGCTGGCTGGGAGTAAATACTACAATGTGGAAGCTACCTATTGCTACCTGCGCTGGTAAGTGTGTCTCCCACGGAAAAGAAACAGTTTATAAAAGGCAGCTTCCCTTATTTTACTGGTCTAAAGAAAATAAGAATTAGGGGTGACATGATAGCAGTATTCCAGGATTTGAAGGGATGCCCCAGAGAAGAGGGGGTCAAATTATGCTCCAAAACACCAGAGGGGCAGAACAGAAACAGTGGTTGGAAACTCACCAAAGAGAGAAGCAACTTGGAATTAAGGAGAAACTTCCTAACGGTGGGGACAATTAACCAGTGGAACAGCTTGCCACCAGAAATCGTGGACGCTCCATCACGAGGCTTTTAAGAAAAGTCTAGAGATAGTCACTTATCTGTAACAGTATAGGTTCTCCTACTTGAGCAGGGGGCTGGATTAGAAGACCTCCAAGGTCCCTTGCAGCTCTATTCCATTCATACTTAGGGCATGAAAACCTCTCTGTCCAGTAGACTATGCTGGCTGGACATGAACTGTGCTGTTTTTTTGTTTTTTTTCCTATCTCCCCAATAAGGCAACTCTGGCTTAGAGCTATTCAGCGGGAGAAATGTCCACTTTCTTCCCCTCTCTATATTGGGCAAGACAAACAGGATCATTCTTCCTTTTCTGCTTAGGCAGAGGGCTGGATTAGAAGACCTCCATTCTCTGTTGTTCTGCTATTTTGTTATTCCTTTTTAGGGAATTGAGAACTTTATGAAGGAGGATGTCTGAGGCCAGAGTGGATGGAACTGATGCAATGGCTGGGGCAAAGGATATCCCTCCAAATCTGAGCTTATTCCTTATTTATCTGTGTTTCTCAAACCTTAGCAAATTTAAGACATCTGAACTTTACTTCCCAGAATTTGCTAGCCAGCAATTCAAGGAATTCTGGGAGTTGAAATCCAGACGCCTTAAAGTGGCCAAGATTGACAAAGATGAAAAGCAAATCAGGGAGAAATGGAGCTTGACTCATAGAAACTCTTGCAAAGTAGCCATTGTGTTTTTGGGAGGAATTGTTTTATTCCCAGCTCATGTTTCCTAAACAGAAAGGTGGCAGGTAGAGTTAGATTTGCATAACACCTGGCAAAGGTTAGCAATATGGCGTTAATAGCCTCCAAAGTACATGGATCATTTTCTGGTGGCCCCCTTAACTAAATGAACAAGAGTTTGGGTGAAATTTCAGCTACCTTTAAAAAATAATAATCTTTACACCTGGCATTTTTGCAGTGGCTTCCATTGCCTGGAACCTGGTTTCTCTGCAGAATGTAGGTTTGGTTGATCTCAGATTCCCCTTAAGGGGCACACTCTGATCATGAACTAGCTTAGATGTTTCATGAGCAGACAGGCAATATTCGTGGAAGGGAGAGAAACTAAAGTCACCAGAGTAAAACTTCTGAAAGGGGAAAGAAGGGAGGGAGGGAGGGAAGGAAGGAAAGAAAGTAAGAGGAAGGAAGGAAAGGCAGGGAGAGAGGAAAGGGGTGAAAGAAGGAAGAGATAGGTTTAAGGAAGGAAGAAGAGAGGAAGGGAGAAAAGAGGGAGGGATGAAGGAAGAAGGAAAGAAGAGGACAGGATGGAAGGAAGGAAAGAAGGAGGGAGAAAGAGAATTAAGGCTGTTTCTTGGAGAGCCTGATTGAGAAAATTAATTTTTCTGCTCCCCTGTTTAGCATCCAGTCGGAAGTGTCCTTTGAAGGCGCTTACGGGAATCTGAAGCGCCTCTATGACAAGGCAGCCAAAATGTATCACCAGCTGAAGAAATGCGAGACCCGGAAGCTGTCCTCAAGCAAAAAAAGGTGAGAAGGCAGCTTCCCCCACTCCCCGGGGCCCCCCCTCAAGGATGACTTGGCCTCCCGTTGCCATTCAAAGTCAGACACAAAGTGGAATGGCCGGTCAGTAATCAGATGGACAGCTCTTGCTGTATTTGGGCACTGAAACTGGACTGCCATCTGTCAGAAATGGTGTAGGATCTCCTGCTTGGGCGGGGGGGGGGGGGCGGTTTGGACTAGATGACCCACAAGGTCCCTTCCAACTCTGTTAATCCAGCCCCATACCTATTTAAATCTGCCATTTTCTGACTCTTTTTCATGGGGGAAGACATGGGGGGAGGGTGGTTGTGTGGTTGTTTGTTTTTGTGGGGGGGGGGGGGGGCAGTGTTTTTCAAGCTTGACAACTTTTAAGGTGGATGGACTTCCAATTCCCAGAATTCCTTAGCCAGCTGGGAACTTGTTTTAGAGCTTTTTTTAAAAAAATAATTTTTATGTTTATAACAAAAACAAAAAATAAAACCATCTTTCAGTTATGTAGTGTGCTGACTGGGTACATATATCTTGTGCACATATCAATATTTGTATACATTTCTTATTAAGTTTACACTTGCGTTATAGTCTGTTCAATATTATACAGTATATCATAATATATCATCATTACAATGTCATTTAATTTCTTTATTTTCCAACCATCCATAAAATAAATCCCAAATCTTATAATACTCCATTTCTTCTTGTTCTCTAATTGCCAATGTTAATCTACTCATTTCTGCACATTCCAGTATTTTCTTAATCTCCTCCTCCATCGGTTAATCTCCTCCTTCTCCTCCTCCTTCATTTTTCCAATTTTGAGCAAATACAATTCTAGTTGCTCTTAGTATCCAGCTTACCCAATCAGCTTCAGCTGACAATTTGCAGAAAAAATCACCTGTCCCAATGATATTGGGAAATGATGCGAAGGGCTCCTTTTAGCCAATTTAAATCGTTTCTGTTTTATACCTTTGGTCCTGCTAGCGCTAGGTCATAATTTATAACAGGGAAGCCCTGGGGCAGTAATCTTAGGTTAGACCTGCCCTGGGCAGCCAAAGCTTCACTCTGAGAAAACCAGTTTGTTTGGCATAAAACAGTCCTTGTATGTGCAAAGGTATACACTTAGTTCTGACAGTTCATTTAGTGACCGTTTACAACAGTGACTTAGGACCATTTTTCAACACTTTAACGACCATTGCAGCATTCCCATGGTCACTTGCTAATAATTCAGACACTTGGAAACTGGTTCATATTTATGACGAACTTCTGACAAGCAAAATCAATGGGGAAGCCAGATTAACAACCCTGCTACTAATTTAACAACTGCAGGGATCCGCTTAACCACTGTGGCAAGAAAGGTTGTTAAAACAGGACAAAACTCGCCAAGGTTTCCCTCCAGTCATTTTTTTTTCCCTTGCCAAAAGTAAACGAATGAAAAATTCATGAACTATGTCTGACTTGTATCAAAACCTACTAAATGCTCTCTTTCCCCACCCCTCCCCATTCTCTCCAATTTGGCAGGTGCAAAGACATTAAAAGGTTACTGGTGAGCTTCATGTATCTACAGAGCCTCTTTCAGCCAAAGAGTAGGTAAGTCTCCTCTGTGAAACCTTCTGATGCTGTAAATGCACCTATTGAAGAAAAATTTCACCGTGGCCTTTCCTTGGTGGGAGCAATAGGGCTGGTCTACTCCACAGGAGACTTCTGTGCCCCTGCATGGCGTAACAGCTGCCACCCTAATAGCACAAGCCCTTAGACTTATATCCCACTTCTCAGTGCTTTACAGCCCTCTCTAAGCGGTTTACAGAGTCAGCCTTTTGCCCCCAACAATCTGGGTCCTCATTTTACCGACCTGGAAAGAACGGAGGCTGAATCAATCTTGAGCCTGGTGAGATTTGAACTGCCAAATTGCACTCAGCTGGCAGTCAGCAGAAGTAGCCTACAGTACTGCACTCTTAACCACCGCACCACCATGGTTCAATGAATTAGTTACTATGCTATTAATGATACCCTGTGTCAGACTTGCCCCAGTCTGATCCCTTTGGGGAAGAAAAACTATCGACTCCCATTTGGCTGAAGCAAGAAATACTTTTACTAACCAATCCGACATCGCCCAGGTGTTTTGGGAAACACTGGAGTGTTTAGCCTGGTGATCTTGCAGTTGTAGGGGGTTGTGTGTGTGCTGTGGGCTCTTTGTTCAGATGCTGTGGGCCCTGTTTCAAGATTGTCTCCCCTGACAGATTCTGGAAATTGGCTTATTGTGACGTTGCCGTGAGGACCCTGTTTCAGGTTCTCACACCTTCCCCCATCTCTGTTAGGAATATAAGTCACCTAACAGCTATTTGGGTTGGACAATATATAAACCAGGATAGACATTTTAAAACTGTATCTTTAAAAAATGTAATTGGGTGTGGTTTCTCAAACGGCCATAAGATGGAGCCAGAAACCTGGGTTGTCTTAGTCTTAGTCTCAGAAGAGAATGTGAGTGAGTCTCTGTTTCCTTCTGTTGGAGATAATTGCCATTTTTCCTAATTGACTGCTGTTCCTGGATTTGATGTAAGTCTGATACTGAACTGTTTTTGGCACTGGACTTTGTTATTGGATTATCCCTGGACTGAAAACTGACTGATCTTACCTGTGAATGACTTTGGACTGCTTATTTTGAACTTTGCTTAAAAGTTTCTGGAAGTAAAAACCTACACTTACTGTACAGTGTAACTGTGTGCTGTGTGTGTATTATTCAACACTTCTCTCACTATGTCTCCCTGTATGCACTCATTCTTCTAAAGGGGAATTACCTCAACAGTCTCTCCCGAGCTGAGTTTCCTCCACAATTGTGGCTGCCTCTTGGTTGTGATAAAAGCTTGGAGTTCCGCTCTTTCATCCTCTGCCTTTTTTCTCCCCTCAAGTTCTGCTGACTCGGAGCTGACCTCCCTCTGCCAGTCAGTCCTGGAGGAATTGAACCTCTGCCTTTTCTACTTGCCCTCTTCACCCCACCCGACCTCCACTGTGGAGGAGGAGGAGGAGTGGGAGAACGGCTGCTCCTTCCTGCCGGACCTGCTCATCTTCCGCATGATCGTCATTTGCCTGATGAGCGTCCACAGCCTCAAGAGGGCAGGTAAGTGACACACCTGGGCAGGTTCAGAGCTAGGAGGCTCCGGGTTCCATATTCCTATTTTCTGGGTTATACCATACAGACATTTTTCCTTCCACCCCCTCGGGTGTGGCTGTGACTTTCCCTGGAGGCCTGCTTGTAGTGGGGTCTCTATGACTCCTCCATATTACAGGTAGTCCTTGACTTACAACAGTTCAGTTAGTGACCACTGGCAATTTTTAGCACAAAGGCAACGTTTGACCTTTGAGTTCTTTCAAAAACCAAATTGAGTGCTTTGTTCCTTCCCCCTTTATTTCATCCTACCGAGCAAGCGAAAGAGGCTGTGATGACCTGGGGCATGGCACAAAGGCAACCCGGCCAGATAATAAGAAAGAGTTCCTTTATTAGCTCCAACTTTGCCCCCAATGTCCTGGTTACCTTCCGGTCTGGAGAAGAACTCTCCCAGGAACCTGCAACTGCCTTTGGCTGCAGATATTCCGATCCAAAACAATGTAAACAGAAAACTTTAAACTACAAACCCAACAAAGCAAGATAAGGTAATAAATCCAGCAGGGCAAGCTAAGGAGTTCCAGAAGTGAAGTAACATGGCAGTAAATCCAACCAGTTGGGAGTCAACAGCAGCCAACATTAGATAAACTCAATGTTTGTTCCTGACAAACACCCCACCCAACTGCTTTTCCTTTAAACTCCCTCCTCAGGCATACCTTGTGAAGGGAATCAGGGCCCTGCATGCCGTAGGATGAGGAGGGGTTGGGCCTTGGCCTGCCTCTGAATCCCCTCTACCTTGTTCTACCTCTCACCTGCTCTGCCCAGCATGACTTTGCCCTTCCCCAGTTTCCTCCGCAGCCAACAGAGCTTCTCTCCTCGGACTCCAATGGGTGTATGACAGAGTCTCCCTCTTTCTCTCCTCCCTCTCTCTCTCTCTTGTCCCCCACTCTCTCTTTTCTATCTTCTCCTTGTCTCTTCTCTAAGTTCTGAGCCCTAGGAAACAAGAAGTTATAGCAGCAGTGAGAAAAGTGACTTATGACCGTTTTTTCACACTTACAATCATTGCTGCATCCCTACGGTCACGTGAACAAAATTCAAATGCTTGGCAATAGATTCATCTTTTATAACGGTTGCTGTGTCCCAGAGGGTCATGTGATGCCCTTTTGCGAAGCCAGATTCCCTTAACAACTGGGCTCTTAACGTAACAACTGCAGTGATTCACTTCACAAACGTGGCAAGCAAGGTCGTAAAATGGAGCAAAACTCACTCTGACAAATGTCTCTCTTAGCAAATAGAAATTTTGGGCTCCGTTGTAGTTGTAAGTTGAAGACTACCTGTGTTGCTAAAAGTGGCCAATGCAGCTCATAACAAGTAGAATCTGTCCATGGAGAGGCTCCGTCATCCAGGTGATGTGTGTCCCAATGGTGCTTTTCCAAAATGCCAGTGGACTTCCTTGGTTTTTTATTTCCTTGAAACATTTCGCTTCTCATACAAGAAGCTTCTTCAGTTCTGACTTTGCTTTAGTCAGAACAGAAGAAACTTCTTGGATGAGAAGCAAAACATTTTCAGGGGGAAGGGAGAAAGAAGACTCACATATCAGTATAAGATGAATTCAGTCCTTAAACTTACCTCTAATCTATGAAGAAACCTATTTCTCCATCTTTTCCTATTTTTAGAATATAAAGGCATTTGAAAACTTTAGGTTAAGGAATGAATGTCGTTAACCTAAGGACAATAAATGTCTTTCCGCTGCGGTTTAGCTAACATGGGCAGCCAACCCCTGTTTGCACCGGCTGCTTGATAATAATAGTATTATTAATTGGTGTTAGTGTTTGTTTCTTTTTAACTTTTTATATTTTAGCTGCTTATATGTAATATATATAAGCCTCCCAGAGTTACGATGGGTGACCAATACATTTTGTAAATAAATAAATAAATGTTAAAGCAGAACATGGATTTTTATTGTTACTTTTTTTTAGTTTGGGCCTTGTGTGTTCTTTGTCTTTTCTGAATTCAGGAGTAACTCTGGCTGCTTCTCATTTTTTCTGCAGGCTCCAGACAGTACAGTGCAGCCATTGCATTCACCCTGGCCCTTTTTTCACACCTGATTAACCATGTCAACATCCGCCTCCAAGCCGAACTGGAAGAAGGAGAGAACCCAGTTCCAGCCTTCCAGAACGATGGCACCGGTAAGGACACACATTCCCTGGAGAGCTGTTCTTTGGGGGCAAAGCAGATGGGGTCCAACAGGAGCCCCCTTCGTCCCAGCTCTTTAGGACCAATGCATGGAGAATCAGCATATTGCCTAGTTGACTTAACAGATTGTGTTTCTCAGTGCTAAAGGCAACCTATTTATTTTAATTAGATGCCACCTTTATTATAATTTTTATAAACCACTCAAGGCAGCAAACATATCTACTACTCCTTCCTTCTATTTTCTGTACAATAGCAACCAGGTGAGGTGCATTGGGTTGAGACAGGATTGGCCCAAAGTCACCCAGCTGGCTTTCATGCCTAAGGCAGGATTTGGAAGTAAAACCTCCTAGTGATTGGCACAAACTTACCAAACCAACGTTCACGCCTAAGACAGGCACTGTTTTCTGGTGATTGGCCCACAGTCACACTATTGATTTTCATGCTTAGGGCACGACTAGAACTCAGAGTCTCCCTGTTTCTAGTAAAATTGGGAATTGCCCCTAATTTTACTTGTTTGACAGTACTGAAAGGGAGTGGCTGTTTGAAAGAGACACAGGGGACTGGTTCAGGCGGTCCTATTTGGAGCCAGGCCGTGTGAAAAATGGGTCATTGTGCATGCACACAAGAGAGAAGATAAGCCTTTGCGGCGGCGCTTGTGTGAGTGGAGCTGTGTGTGTGAAACGGGTCACCTTTCACGTGGCCTGGTTCCGAATGGGACACCGCCTGGACCACTCCCCTGTGTCTCTTTCAAACAAAAGAGAATGATCTCTCTCACCTGTTGCTACTTGTCTTGCCCTCGGGTGCTTTAGAGCAGTGGTCCCCAACCTTTTTTGTACCAGGGACCAGTTTCAAGCACAAACACTTTTTCGGGGGGGGGGGGGGAATCCGAGTTTGGTGGTTTGCTTGCAGACGTTTCATTACCTGACTAGGTAACACCTGATGTTGTTACCTAGTCGGGTAATAAAACGTCTGCCAGCAAACCACCAAGTTCAGGGAGCGCCTCGGCCCTGCCTCCCTCAGCCCCATCCCTCAGGTGTCTGTCTCGTTCCTCTCTCAGTCGTTCTCTCGCTGCTCCTGTCGCCGCAGCTCCTCCGAAGCGCCCGTTTACCCCCACCCCCACCCCGCCCGCCCGCGCGCGGTTCAATCCACAGTGCTCCGTTCTGCCTGCCTGCCTGCCTTCTTCATTTCGGAGCAGCTTCGGCTGATAAAAAGAGGCGAATAGTTATTATTCTCAGCCGAAGCTGCTCCCAAACAACCAAACAGGCAGAGAGAGAGAGCGACTGAGAGAGGAACGAGGCGGGAGGAAACCGAAGCTGCTGAGCCAGAGAGCAGGACAGGCTTCTGTTGCTTCCTCCCTCCCCTTCTTTCATTTGTGTCCTTGATCCCCGATCCCAGCAGCATTCACCGAAGGCGAAGAAAGCCGCCATTTTTTTTTATTTATTTTTTTCTTTGCGGCCCGGTACAGAGTGCTCCACGGACCAGGACCGGTCCGCGGCCCAGTGGTTGAGGACCCCTGCTTTAGAGAATAGAATACAGAATAACAGAGTTGGAAGTGACCTTGGAGGTCTTCTAGTCCAACCTCCTGCTGAGGCAGGAGACCCGGGCAAATGGGCTGTCCAATCTCCTCTTAAAAACTCCCAGTGATGGAGCACCCACAACTTCCGGAGGGACTGTCCGGAGGGAAGTTGTTCCACTGATCCCTGTCAGGAAAATTCCTTCTTAGTTCTACGTTGCTTCTCTCCTTGGTTAGTTTTCCTTTGGGAAGGCCAAGAGGGTGGGGTGAATCTCACCCCGAGGAGAGTGAGACACCAGGGCAGGAAAGAGTCTTCTCCCTGGACCCCACCGGCCGGAGTCCTTGACCAATAGGGTCTGTAGCACGTCCCTTCTGCCAGAACATTTGATGGCTCGGTTCCTGGGTGGAGAGGTTCATTGTGTCTCCTGCGTTTTGAGCTGCAGCTGCCTTTGTCTATTCTTGCAGAGGGCCCAGAGGCCCAGGAGACGGCAAACTCCGTCGAGAGAGAAAGTGAAGCTGACTCGGCTGGCCCCCGGCCCCCTGGGGAGCCACAGCAGAACGACAGCCAAAAGGGCAAAAAGTATTCGCGCCTCTCTTGCCTGCGCCGTCGCCGCCGGGCCCAGAAGCTGGATGAGAGTGACCTGAGCGAGGGCTTCGACTCAGATTCCAGTCCAGAGTCCACCAAAGCCAGTGGCGCCTCGGAGACGGGCTCCGAGAAGAGCGACGAAGAAGCCGAGGCGGCCTTTGACATGGAGTCTGATTCCGACATGAACAGCCAGGAATCCCGCTCGGATCTGGAAGACATGGAGGAAGAGGAGGCCGAGGCTGAAGGGGGCAATGGAAAGTGGGGCCAGCCCCGGGGTGTCAAGAACGGGACCAGGGGAGCCCCAGACTTTTTGGCCAGTGAAGGGGGTCGGCTGCCAGACTTGAAGGGCCCTGGCCTCCCCAAGACTGACCCTCCAGAGCCTGTGGCCAACGGGCCGGGCTCCTTGGGTGGCAGTGAGGCCAGCATCGCCAGCAACCTGCAGGCCATGTCCACGCAGCTCTTCCAGACCAAGCGGTGCTTCCGGCTGGCCCCCACTTTCAGCAACGTCCTTCTGAAGCCGGGCTGTGGGCCGCCCACTCCGAAGGAGGCAACAGGAGATGGCAAGCCTTGCGTCAACGGGGACGTGGAGAGGTCCTTGGCACCTGAGCCAGGTGAGGGCTCGTTGGTAAGGGAACTTGGCTTCCTCACTGCCTGTCGGAAGGTTGCAAAAGGGGGTCATGTGACCTGGGACCTCAGAATGGTCCTCAGTGCGAGTCAGCTGCCAAGGATTTGAATTCCGCTTCCAAACTGCTACACTGCTCTTCCAGATTTCCTTCCTCCCCCCCCCC